TTTGTTTTTCCCCTTTATGGTCACCAGCATGTGATGAAGCACATGAACCTGCAGCCGCTGGACTCCCACGGTGTCGACTTTTCCAGAGTGAGGATGTGGAATCTGAATAACTGGGCCCGACACTACAGGCAGACGCTGGTTTTCAGCTCCATTCAGGACCCACAGATCAACAACATCCTCACCAAGCACTGCGCCAACTACCGCGGACAGGTAGGCCACATTTCACACTTTACTGTTGCTGAGAGAGAGAGGTGGTGGATGTAAACCCTTTATCGTGTAACATTTTCCGAACAAGGCTCGGAAATATCTGCAGGCTCATATTGATTTGGTTTTAACTAAGGTGTTAATTCTTTTGTTTTCTTTGTGTGTTTTTTGGCTCAGATTGTCATAAAGAACATACCAAAAACTGGTTCCATCTGCCAGGTCTTGGTCCAGCTGCCTCATGTCTTCCAGATGTTTTCCTCCGCCAGCTTCATCGACCACGATGCTCGGTAAAGTCCAGCGTGTACCTTCACCCTAAACTGTCTCCTGACATTAGAGCTCTTTTTTCTCTCACATCATTCTACGATATAGGTCCTGGCAGCTGATTGGTTGTTTTCTCCGATTTTGTGTATAGGTTTCAGTTCTTTATAGACAAAGTGCTTCCGCAGTACAAGGATTCGGTTATGTCACACACTCTGATCTACATCCCGTCTTACTTCGACTACGTTCGGCTGCGTAACTACATGAAGAAAGAGGAGATGAACTTTGCCAGCGTCTGCGAGTACTCCAGCAAATCCGAGGTGTCCCGAGCACGCCACTTTTTCCAAAAGGGGGAGAAACAGTTCATGCTCTTTACGGAGCGCTTTCACTTCTACAAGAGGTCAGTTCTTTGTAATGCCCTGTCATGTGGGCCTTTTCCATAGTAAATCAAACAAATATGAAGAAAAAAAAACCTACCTGACCCCCTCTGAGTCATCTGATTTATTTTGTACAATAACTTTGGTATGTTAAATATGGTGGGAATTTCCTAAGTTACAGGCCCTCAGGGTGCAAAGGGTGGTCAAAATTTAGCTTTGTTTAATCTGCATGTTTTTCGGGGCCTTAAAAAGACATTTAAGATCTGGTTTGGATTTTTTGTTTGTTTGTTTTTTTCAAACAGCAACCAAATAAATTTTATACCCACTCAAAGTGTCACAATCTAAAGCCAAAAAACATCCCTGTTGTGGGAGTTTCAATAACAAGACTGTACCAGCTTTTACCTGGTCTCTTATTACCTGTTCAGTTTGTAACACTTTTCTTTTGGCTTTACTAAACTTTAGAGATTCAACTGTAAGAGAACTTATAACCGTCGCTTCTGTCAGCTGTGAAGGCTTTAAAGGCACTAATCTTTAGAGTTAACATCACCAGATAACTGATATATTTGTAATCCATTTTATTGCACTCACCTGATAGCTGCATATGACAAGTTGCCAAGAGAGAAACTGTGGTACTGTATGATGAAGTCACAAGTGGCAGAGAAGTATGTGAGCCTGGTACAGGGCATGAATGTGGGGGTGGGACTGCATCAGGGATCATCTCTGAGTCCCCTGTTGTTTGCATTGGCGATGAACAGGTTGACAGACGGGGTCAAGCATGAGTCTCTGCAGATTGTGATGTTTGCAGATGACAGGACAGAATGTGTGTGTGAATAAGGCAAGCGCTGGACCCAAATGAAAATTATTTAAATTAAAGGTTGCAGCTACTCCAACAGTTATTACTAAGCAAATTAAGTTACATTAAATCCTTGAATGCACTTTGATCAATGAATACAGCTCACGATCTCAATTTAGGAAGCTTATATAAATCTATGCTCTCAAGGTAACACCTTGATAAGATTTTATTACACCAGCGTGATAGTGTAATCGTTCGGCGTGATAGTTCAGCTGGGGGTTAAACAGGCTGTTGAAAAGTCAAATTGCATCAGCAATGCATGTACTTATGATGTTTCTTGTTATAGAAACTGGTTTAGTATATCCTCTGCTGTAGGAGATAATAGAGGACAGTTTATATCAGTTCTATCCTCTCGCTTAAAGAAAATAATCACTCGGCTTTAGCCAGTTTCTTGTCCCATTAATTTGCTCTCCTTGATCCGTTTTAAAGAGCTCTGGAAGACTATTGGACCAATCGTTCAGACCAACGTTAATAAGCTGTGGTACTCCTGCCGATGAAAACACAAATCCTAATGCTTTGGTTTTCTCTAATTTTAGACTTAAAAACTGCCATATATACCTAAAGTTTTAGAGAAAACTGTACTTTTAAAATGGCAGTTCTTTTTAGTCTTTCTAGTCTGTTCTGAAAATCATACATGTTTTTGTGAATTCTAAATAATCTTTTACTACGGTAACTAACTTGCACGACTTCACTATTATTGTGCTTTTAAATCTTACTGATGCTTCTGACGCGGTGAACCACACAAGTCTCGTGTCCCGTGTAGAACACTAAGGCATCAAGGGTGGTTTAAACACAAAGAACCTTCTCGGCTCGTCTTGGTGACCGACCTTCTTCCTCAGCCACTCTTGCATGTGGAGTCCCATGGGTTTAATTCTTGGGCCAATTCTCTTCTCTCTTTATTTTTTCCCTATGGGACTAATTGCAGATGACACCGTAATTTATGTGCCAATAAAAAGAAACTATGTCAGCTCCCTTAAAGCACTGCTGGTGGCTCTAAGCTTCTTCTTTTCTTTTTTTTTAAATGAATGTTTTAGTCATGCTTTTATAAAGCACCTGGACTACTTTAATGCACTTTCCGTTGCCTTTAGCAACACTTCAATTGCTCGTCTGTAGTTAGTCAGGTTTTTTGTTGTTTAAACCTTTGAAAGATCAGCACCAACTTGGGTATCCAAACTGCTAACTATTAATTTTAATAGAATTTTATTACTAAAGCTTACTAGTCTAACCCAGGTTGCTTCCCTCAGTTTGTAGGTAAAACTGTTTCACTGCTCTTTTTCCATCACTGGACCAGGCCTTTATCTTCTCAAGGGCATTCAAATGTGTGTTGAAGTTTATCCAACCAGTCTACATGTGTTTTGTGGACTTTAAGGGAACTGGCCTATTATTGCAGGGAATTTGGTCCTTGTATTACCATAGCTTGGTTTGCATCAGCAATACAGCTTGCAGATTGGATGACAGTTAGCTCCTCCAAGTATAAAGCCAGGGTTTTTAGCTGGAAAAAACATGAGAAGATGATGGGCCATGTTGTCCTTGGTTTAAAAGAGTCTGATCTCTGAAATGCTTCTTTTAGGTACACAATCAAAGGGATCCAGAACCTGATATTTTACGGATTGCCCTCCTTCCCACACTTCTATAGCGAGGTGTGTAACATGCTGGCAACAGCAAGTCAGGGGGAGGAGGCCAGCTGGACCTGCACGGCACTCTACTCGCGCTACGACGCTCACAAACTGGCCGCCATCACCGGAGCACAGCGAGCAGGACAGATGCTGAACTCCAACAAGGCTGTTCACCTCTTTGTCACGGGAGGGGAAGACAAAAATGTATGATGACATTGGATGAATATGAAAAGGAGCACTGGAGTAAATTGAGCATAGGTGTTTACCATGCTTAATAATCAGGAAAGTTTCCAAATGCACCAGAAAACATGTTTATTGGCTTTGTTGTTGCAGGAGACCATAAAACATTCCTTTCATTTGTAAAGAGATTATTAAGTTGTCACTGATAAGAAGAGTTGGATGTTTATTATTAAAAACTTTCCTTATCTTTTACTTGATTAAAGTTCATGCGTAGCAAAATGTGACCTAACGCGGCCATGAAGTGCCAAAATAATTGCATAATAGTTTTCATGAGGTGATAATGCAGTAATCTTATGAGAATTTCAAGCCAAAAAACCTGCGAGAGTAGCTTTGCATGATTTATAGTTCAGATTAATTCTCATAAAACTCAAACAAGGACAGTGTAGATTAAAACCTTAATGTCACCATGACCGTCATGGATATAAATGTGGAGAGACTTAGACTCACAAACTCAACATGTAAATGTTGATGTTGAGGGTTCAAAGGTAGGAGAAGACCCCACATTTCAGACAGGTCATTGAAGGTGAACTCTATTTTTACAGGTTGTTTATTTAATTCCATTTTGCTCCTGTTTTATGACTACTAAACAAGCAAAGGTGGGGAGATAATAAA